TAACCTGAAACTGTTCTTAACCTGAAGCACCACTTTAGCTAATGGGGCCTCCTGCTGCTGCCGCGCTGCCAGAGCACAATTTCTGTTCTCATCCTGAAGCAAAGTTCTTAACCCAAGGTACTATTACTGGGTTAGCGGAGTTTGTAACCTGAAGCGTATGTAACCTGAAGCGCATGTAACCCGAGGTACTACTGTAAAGAGTTTCCCTAAAAGAAGGCTTCAAATACATGAGTGGCTGAGTTTGCCCATCCCCTTTTCCCTACTGCATTTCAGCACACATCACTCCATTGGGGGCAGGATTCGAATCACTTCCCATATAAAGGCAAGGCTGCTGAACTCACACTTTCCAAGACAGTACAAGAACCCAAACTCAGCAGCTTGAAATTTGCACTTCTCTGCCGAATTTTGCTATGCAGTTTTCCAGCCAAGTAATGTGTACTGGGGGGGAAATGCCTATACTCAGGTAAACTGGGCATCAAAAGGTATATATTGATGAAAATAAATATACAAAGAGCATTATATTAGGAGATATTGCTCTGCAAAAATGTATGCTTGTGTGTGAACTTTTCATGCGAACTTAAAAAGGGGAAAAAAATGGCAAACCAATGTGGAAATGTGGTGAACATCCAATTTTGTGAGAAAAGAAACTTTTCATCGTGCAGTTTACGCATAAGTAAGCCTACAAGGTTGTTATTCGGGACAATATTTCACACTGATTTACAAAGAACTAACCCTCTTGTCTAAATGAACTCGGAGGCTGTTAAAAATAAATGAAGGATCAACACTGGAAATGTTTATTGGGACTATCTAACTAATTAAGGAATGCAGTAACAATATTAGATCATCACTCCCTGAACTTCAGAGCATGGGAAGTCACCCAAAGATTTATAATTTGGCATGATTATTTGGCTGTTTTGTTGTCTTATAATTTGGAATGATTTAACGTGGTTTTTATTGGATTGTTAAATTGGAAAACTTAATAATAGTAATAATAATATTAATAATAATAATAATATTTATTATTATTTAAAAGGTTGTTATTCGAGAATATTGTCACAAACAGTCACCTAAGGAATGTCGCTCAATTTCAGTCAGGTACCACTTTTGTTCTAGAAACAAAAAAACTCACTTCAGCATAACATCCCCTGGAAATGCATTGAATTTTGCCATTGAGGTGTGTCTATTACCCCAGTCGATGTTAGTGGGTTAGGGTAGTAAAACACCCTGTCAATTTTTTTCATAAACGTATTGTCAAGGCAAGGTCAGAAAAGTGTCGGCACAACAGGTTGGCACAAACCATATAACCATTTCTCTGAGGGACGGTTTTCCGGCAGCATTAGAAAAGCACCGCCCATAAATGTTCACATTAGATTGAAAATATGAGAAATGGAGAGAGACCAAAATAGACAACTCTTCTAAAAGCTGCTCCACAATAGCTTCCTAGCCTAGGATGTCCCAGTCTCAGATTCCTGTTTTGGCACCTTTTGCGTGGAATTTGTACGACATGCACACCTCGCCATCGCAGCCGAGTTGAAAGTCTGTTTTGCTCTCTTGGCACTGTTTGATCTTGAATAAAATCATCCTTGGAGTATTTTAAGGATACCCTGTTCGGTCATGGCTTGCTGCGTTTTGCCTGGCTCACTTTGCCTCGCGGAATCGTCACAGCTGGGAAGCGTTTGAGCTGCTCCAAGGATAACTCGGCTGGATGGAGTTACATGAGGAGCAGGCCCTCAGGGCTTCTGAGCAAGTCTCTGCTGATTTCTGATCTCCGTCTCCCATGTGCTCCAGCAATTCCCTCTCCCTTGAAGTATCGGCAGTTCAGAAGCCCCCGAGCGTGACTGCAAGTGTAATTATACCTAAGCAAGTTACTCGAACAAACATCTCAGGGGCTGCAGCAGAATCTACAGCTGTTCTGCTCCTTGTCTTCTTTCTTTTGCCCATGCTCTGCTATTAGCCCTTTCTATAGCTCCTCCTTCTTTAAGATGCTACCTATGGCTAATAATAATAATAATAATAATAATAATTTATTATTTATACCCCACCCATCTGGCTGGGTTTCCCCAGCCACTCTGAGCAGCTTTCAACAGAATATTAAAATACAATAGTCTATTAAACATTAAAAGCTTCCCTAAAGAGGGCTGCCTCTTCTAAAAGTCTGGTAGTTGTTTTTCTCTTTGACATCTGGTGGGAGGACGTTCCACAGGGCGGGTGCCACTACCGAGAAGGCCCTCTGCCTGGTTCCCTGTAACTTGGCTTCTCACAGTGAGGTAACCACCGGAAGGCCCTTGGCTAAAACATGTGAGAGTGTTTTTTGGCAATCTGGGTGAGGGATGCCTTAAGGACCGTCCGTGATGAGGAAAGCTGTCAATTTTTTGCATTTCTCAGCCTTTCATTTTTCTAATCTTAAATTCAATTCATGTTCGCGTTGGTTCCTGTCCCCCCTTTCTTTCAAAAGTGTTGTAACTTTTGAACAAATGTTTTTTGATTTTTTCTAAAAAGGTCATCATGAAAATGCATCAGCTTATCCTAATGTGCACATAATTGTATGCAAGTTGGCCTACTAGATCATTTCCCCTAATTATTATTACTACTATTATTATTTACGAAATTTGTTAGTCGCTGTTTCTTACTGAGGCAGCTCAAAGAGACTTACACCTAATAATCCATTTTTGTATGTTATTTTCACTTCGATACATTTATATGCGCACTTTACAATATGCATTTTTGGATACATTACTTGGCAGCAGAACGGCACTTCAGAATTCAGAGAAATGTGGCTTATAAAGGATGGCTGTGTCTCAGTTCATAGAATGCTTCGGAAAACATGAATTAGATAGGCTTATCTTCAGAAGTGAACTTAATTGAATTCCTCCCTTGTGGGTCACTGAGATCAACCCAAAAAAGTGATGTTTGTTGCCCCCCGCCATGTTGTTGTTGTTAATTAAATTTCTATACTGCCCTCCATCCAAGGATCGCAGGGCAGTTTACAGTATAAAGGGACCCCTGACCATTAGGTCCAGTCGTGGATGACTCTGGGGTTGCAGCGCTCATTTCACTTTATTGGCCGAGGGAGCCGGCATACAGCTCATGTGGCCAGAATGACTAAACTGCTTCTGGCGAACCAGAGCAGCACATGGAAACGCTGTTTACCTTCCCGCTGGAGCGGTACCTATTTATCTACTTGCACTTTGACATGCTTTCGAACTGCTAGGTTGGCAGGAGCGCAGGGACGGAGCAATGGAAGCTCACCCCGTCGCAGGGATTCGAACTGCCGACCTTCTGATCGGCAAGTCCTAGGCTCTGTGGTTTAACCCACAGCGCCACCCACATCCCTTAGTTTACAATATAAAAACACAAAAATACATAACATAATAACAAACAAAAACAATACTCCCCACATAGAGTTTAAAAGGCCATAGATTCTCTAACTAGACAAAGGACTAGAAGAAGTGGAAAGTTTTTGCCTGGTGCCTAAAGATATGTGATGAAGGTCCCAAGCTAGCCTCCTTAGAGAGAGCATTTCTCAAGCAGAGAGCCACCACAGAAAAGACCCATTCTCGCTGCCCTCTGGACTTCTGGCGGAGGAGGCACATGAAGAAGAACCTCAGATGGGGGGGGGGGTCAACAACTTTGTCTGGATTTTGGCAACCCTGGGTATTATATGTTTCATGATACCTGCATATTATGTTGTACATCATCCTGATATGTTATACGATGCAAGGTCTGTGAATTTATATCTCTATTTTGGAAAGATGTTTGCCCATCTGTTCTCTATGGACGCCTCTTAAAGATAACATCATCAAATTTGGCACAATGGTCCCTGAGATCAAGGAGCAGGGTTTGGTCTGTTGTCGCCTACAATTGGGCACCATTTTGAATTAAGATGATAGAATCATTGACTTGTAGAGTTGGAAGGGATTCCAAGGGTCCAACCCTCAACAAGACAGGAATCACAGCTAGAGGATCCCTGATGGATAAGCACCCAACCTCTGCTCAAAAACCTCCAATGAAGAAGAGTCCAGCAGCTTCCAAGGTGGCCCATTGCATAGTCCAACAGCTCTTACCACTAGAAAGTTCTTCCTAATGCTTGGTTGGACTCTCCTTTCTTGCAATTTGAATCTATTGCTTCAGGTCCTACCATCTGGAGAAGCGCGGGGGGGGGGGAGGATTCTATTCTCCAGGATAAAGAGACCAAACTCAGTTCATATGGCCTGCAATTGGTGGGTCTCTGGAGGCTCATGGTTATAAGCCTCCAGTTCATTCCACCAGCTCCCTAACTTGCTTTGTGACCTAGTGTGCAACCGGACTTCCATGATTTTTGACCTTGGGTTGCTTCTGGACCTTGCCCCTGTGTTTTGAGTTTGGATCTTGACCAGCCCTCGCTTTTTGATGGCTCCCGTAAGTGGACTTGGGACAGCTGGGTGTAATTTCATCTGAAGCAGGACAGTAAACCAGATTTGTCCTGATGGTTCCTGAGATGAAAGAAGAGGTTTTAGTCTATGTTTGGGTACAATCAGATGCCATCTTGAATCAAGATGCTGAACTGAACCTTTTAAAACCTCACCAATCTTTTCAGCTTCTTAGAACTCCTGAGCAGCACTGGGTATGAGGCTGCTAATATTTTTAGAAAAATTAATAAGTAACTAAGCAGAGTATCCATAATCTAAAACGAGTCACCATTACAATAGCAATATAATACAAAACCAGTGTAAGTCTAATTAAAATAGTTGTAGTAAAACTACATTGCTGCTAAGCAGGAATGTAAGAGAATACTAATAAAAACAGAAATGGGAGTTGAAATTGTGAATTGTTGCTTATTTCCGTCCATGTCTGCAGTGAAAATCAAACCCACCAGCAAATATGGTGGTTGTTTGCTGTTATTGTTGATATCAGTCTGCAAATGATAACTGATTAATTATGTAAATTGCAAAAGTTTAATTATTTTGCCACAGTGGACAGGGAGACATAGGACATCATTTCTGGTACAAACTGCAACGGAACCCAAAATAGCTCAGTAGGTAAAGCAAGAGACTCTTAATCTCGGGGTTGTGGGTTCAAGCCCCACATTGGGGTTGGACTAGATGACCCTCATGGTCCCTTCTGATTCTATGATTCTATCTTAGATTGGGGACCTCATGCCTGTGCAAAAGGTGTTGCATGTGATTAATACAGGGCAGAACAGAAAATTATGCCTTCTTACATTCTACTGAGAACCTGTCTGCATCTCTGCAACCCCTGAGAAAGCTAAATGTTTCCCAGTGCCGACCATGACTTAGGTGAGCTGACTCATCACAGAGGCCAGAGCTTTCACTCTGCCCATCTACCAGTTCAATAATTCAGCTTTCTCCGTCCAGCAAAAGAAAGTTGTCCTTTACTAGCCTATTGTACAGTTCTGCATCACAACATCTCTCTAAAGCAAAACTTTGGAGCCAAATCTCTATTTCTGATTCCTACCCACCCACCCAAAAACAAAACAAAAAACCCAACAAAACAAAGCCAAGATTGCCATCATTCTAATCACAGTTTTTGGCATTGAAAAGCCTCTAAAACTGGGATGTTGGCAGGAACAATATGAAAATCACAGTAGAAGAGAGATAATGCATTATTCTGCTGATTTTTAATAGGTCCAAAAGGCAAGTGGAGGGAATTACTGGCACTTGCAAAACCCCAGATGGCAAAACACAAGCATTTCTCTCTCTCCCTCGCCAAAGTAGCAACGTGCTTCATAAACTGTAAACTCCTCTCTTTATTAGCCATTTATAAGCCACTCTTCACAATCCAGCTTCAATATTAAAACACTTAAAAGCTCACAGAAGACCTGTATAGCAAGAGAGTCCATCATTTACTGTCAACACAGAAGCATGTCATTTCTTAATCCATGGGGAATCAACACTAATCATCCAGATCCCATTTGTGAATGTATCTTGCTCTGGCATGATAAGCTGTGGGGGTTTCATTAAATGGAGGAAGCCACAGCCCGGATGCAGGTGCTTCTAAAATTCTCCTCAGTTTTTTTTTTTTTTTCCACCCTGGATTTTGGATTTCCAAAGTACCCTGCTTTGTTTTTGAAGCAGAACTAGTGCGTTAGGAATTCTCCATGATTGTTTGTTTGTTTGTTTGTTTGTAATAGAATTGTAATAGTGAAAATGTTTGTAATAGTTTGTAATAGTGAGAATATTGAGAATGTTTGTTTGTTTGTAATAGTGCCGTACCTGGCGTGCTCTGGTCCATGGGGTCACGAAGAGTCGGACACGACTAAACGACTAAACAACAACAACAACAATAATGAGAAATTGTGCCATTCATAAAATGGCCACCACGTCAATAAGGAGCAGGAAAAGAGGCCGAAACACAAAACTGTGGAAACATGCCTCCTCATCTGTGTTTAACACAGATAGCATTTGCTGTGGAGACAAATTGTTTAAGTAATCTGTACAGGTGGATTGATTAGATCAGGGCAATTCAAGCTTTTCGTTTTATAACAGGAGACATAAGCATATTGTTTCAAGGCAGGGAATGGGGAATGGCAATGCACTAATCTGGTATTCAGGCATAGCTGTCAAGTGTCCCTTATTTGGCAGGACAGTCCCTTATCCCAGCGCCATGTCCCGCTGCTGTCCCTTATTGATGATGTCCCTTAAATTTCCCGGGTTTCAAAGGAAGCAACTCCTCTCCCTCCCTGCCTGCTGGCCAGGGATGAGGGAGGCTCCAACTGTGTTGCTTGGCTGCGTTGCTCACCCAATAAGGAGTCTAAGAACGACTGGGGGGGTGGAGCTTGCATGCCTTGTGCCAATAAAATCGGCCGCATTGCCTGGGGACTCGCCTTTGCTCAGCGCTTCCCAGCGGAGAGGTGACGGTGGTTTTCCTTAAGGCTTGAGGCTTCGTTTGGCTGCTGGCTGGGCTTTCTGCCTTTGGCTTGGAGGGGCTCTGAAGTTGAACATACCTGTGCCCGGAAAATCCCTTATTTTGGCTGCTGATCCCTTATTTTTGAGGCTGCTGGTCCCTTATTTTCAAATCTGTAAGTTGACAGCTATGTATTCAGGTCTCACCTGTCTCCAAAGGATATTACACAGATAGGAAGATGCCTTTAATTTCCATTTTAACAGATTTAATTGGTGCATTTTTTGTCACCAAAGATCCCATCTAGTAAAGAGCACTGGCTGTTTTTAATACAAAAACAAAGGGAAGGGAAGAACAGCAAAGGAGTTTTCTTTTGCCATCTTGGAAGTTCCACAGATAACAATAAAGGATGTTATCCAACTAATCCAACATTAGAAGAAATTCACATAAAAGGGGATGGTTTTTTTTAACTTTTAAAGAAGTACAAGTGGCAAACCACTTTGGAAATATGGGGAATTGAGTTTTTAAGACAAGGGGGGGAATGCGAAACTAAGAGAAAGTGAAATGGACAGATCTGCCCATCCCTAGGGTATCATGATCTAAGCCAGCTATCATTGACAACAGGCAGAACATAATCTGTTTTATGAGCCCATATCTAGGAAATGTACATGAACTGCCAAAGTCTGTCATTGTTACCGTCACCTCCACATGACATCAACTTGGCAGCCTCTGTGCTGAGTGTGCTGGATTTGCTCCCCCGCGTGCCTTGATTTACAGATTTTTCTTTTCTAACTCCTTTTTGGATTTGCCACATTTCCACATCCATATAGTTGATGTATTGTTGAGTAAGGCATTTGTTATCTCCTCCAAATACATGCTTGTAGCTCAGTAAATCTATTTCCAGCCTGTCTTCCCAGACGGCTACTACAAGAGCTCCATCTGAGGCATCAATTTATCTGATGCAAAGAACAGAAATGTGACAAATGCAAAGGGAAGTCTCTAGAGCTCTGGTGCCCAGCTCCATTCTCCTGGTCTCAGGCTACTGTTTTGTTTGTTTTTTCAACGTTAAGGCACTTTGCTAAAATCAGTTTGTTGAAAGTTTTCACATATGAAAATGATGTATTTGACTCCTTCACCTTGCCAACAAAGGTCCGTATAGTAAAAGCTATGGTTTCCCCAGTAGTGATGTATGGAAGTGAGAGCTGGACCATAAAGAAGGCTGATCACCAAAGAATTGATGCTTTTGAATTATGGTGCTGGAGGAGACTCTTGAGAGTCCCACAGACTGCAAGAAGATCAAACCTATCCATTCTGAAGGAAATCAGCCCTGAGTGCTCACTGGAAGGACAGATCCTGAAGCTGAGGCTCCAATACTTTGGCCACCTCGTGAGAAGAGAAGACTCCCTGGAAAAGACCCTGATATTGGGAAAGATGGAGGGCACAAGGAGAAGGGGATGACAGAGGACGAGATGGTTGGATAGTGTTCTCAAAGCTACCAGCATGAGTTTGACCAAACTGCGGGAGGCAGTGGAAGACAGGAGTGCCTGGCGTGCTCTGGTCCATGGAGTCATGAAGAGTCGGACACGACTAAACAACTGTGTGGTGTTTGCCCGCTCTTTTAAAAATGTCTGTACAAGGGGAGAGAAAGAGTTCATAGGTAGACCAATAGAAAAGTCAGAGGCGGAGCCTACCTGTTTATAAAAGGGCTTAGCCTGAGGTTTGGTAGGTTGGGAAAGGCAGGTGGGAAAGCAGTTGGCAGACAGATGGAAATAGAGAGACAGTTAGTGCATTTGGTTCTTGTGTGAGGGGATGTAGAAGAGTTAGAGACAGAATAAAATAAGACTAAGGGGGTAAAGGGTAACAGCGTTTCGAATGCATTTAAAGTTTATTTGTGTTTGCAATAAACTACAATCTTCATTGTTAACTTAAGAACCTGACTGAGACTAAGTGATTTACCGGGGAGGACCTGGTTGGTGGCAGCGGATTAGTGGTGTACAGGTCAATGACACGACAAGGGGCTCCTGGTCACAGCATGTTTTCATTTCCAGCAAACTCTGCAGTATTCCTGCCGACATGTGCTTCCTGATTTGAAAAGGCCCATGGCAGGAGTTTCCTCATGACATCTTTCCTGGGGATTTAACCGAAGCACAGGCATACAAGGAAGCTGCCCAATGCAGACCATTGGTGAGATGATATGTAGAATGGAAGAGAGCACACAAACACACCTTGGCCACCTCCAATGTATGGTAAGCACAAGAGAAACCTTGAGCCCCACCCATGAGAAGAATAATATTAATAATAATAATTTATTTATACCCCGCCCATCTGGCTGGGTTTCGCCAGCCACTCTGGGTGGCTTCCAACAAAACACTAAAATACAATAACCTATTAAACATTAAAAGGTTCCCTAAACAGCTCTCTCTCTCTCACACACACACACACACATACCCAAAAAACTACCCTTGGATAATTTTTGAATTAAATGTATTATCTCCATCTACCTTGGAAGGGAGTGGATTCTTCTTTGTTGGAGATTTTTAAAGAGCAATTGGATGGCTATCTGTCCAGAATTCTTTTTGATTCCTGAATTGCATGGGGTTGGACTAGATGGCCCTGGGTGTCCCTTCCAACTCTACTGTTCTATGATTCTGTGGTGGAGAAAGGCTGGGGCGGGGTGGGGTGAGAAAACAGGAGGAATTTTCTGCATGACACTAGTTTCTTTCTTTTTTTCCCTTCTCTTTTTTTACTTCATGCTCCCTTTTCTTTTCTTTTGAATTTTTTTTTAATCCTTTATTATTTTATTCACATTCTTTACAACAAACAACTCCAAAATAAACAGACAACTCCAAAATAAAATCACATGTAACAAAACCATAAGTCTCATCTTTTCATTTACAAGATCTCCTCTCCAATACCTTTACTTGATATTTCTTGCTGCTTTCTGCTTTCCTTATAGAATCTTTATAACAATTTAAATCTCTTAAATCCTATACCAGTCATTAACAATTTCAATTAATCCCTTCATCTCCCTCCCCCACAGCCCAGTACTTCCCTCCACCTGGGTGCGATCTTCTTTACCTACTATTATTTTTGTTATTGTTGCGTTATTCACTTTATTTGTTATTCCATCCTTAGTATATTATTATCTTATCTCCTTGCGCCTTTTAAACTTTTCCATATTAATTTTTAAGCTCCAGCACCAACTTTTTTCAAGTAGGGCAGAAAGCACGGC